AGAAGAAACTCTAGGATTCAGTGAATTTCGACTGATCCTAGGTATCAATTTATAATGGTTAGAAGTAGAGATCAATTACAACTGTGACTGTACAATATTACGAACAATAACTGATATTCAGAGGAACCTAGGAGATCCAACACTGATATCATCACCTGGCTTTAGTCTAAACTTGACTTGCTCAAATTGCTCCGGCTGCACAATTCCAGTAGCCAGCAGGACTCTTCAACATAATCTGCAACAAAAAAAAAAACAGCAAATTACTTAGCATGGAACTTAGAAATATAAAAGTACAAAATATTGAATGGAAGACTAAAAACTTGCAGAATCCGTTCAAGGACACTAAACCTCTGCTTGTTTAGGCTTCATGGATATAGCAGGAGAAATTAAACCTGCAAATGAATAGCTTACACAGTCAAAAATTTGTTCATGTGGAAACACCAAAAGATATATATTCTAATAAGAGAAATGTTGGTAAGCAAGTTTCACCCCAGAGATAAGGTGGGGCCCATGAAAAAATATGTGCAACATTGCCATGTCAATTCTCCAATAAAGGTTGAAAGCATCAAATATGTGACACTATATTGTAAGATATATATCGGCTTCCAGGATTAAATAATAATACAAGGTGTGCATCAATGGTGATAACTTGCACTGAAACACTGAAACAGAGACAAATAAAGAGCACTAACTTGCAGTCATTACATCAGGAGACAAATTCCACATTCCCACTTTGATTCCCTTCACACAATTTTAGAGCATCAAGGAGTTAAATTCAACCTGCCTTTTTTTCATTGGTGTGCAACTAAAACAATCTAGGCCGTAGTAGGAAGGGAAAAGCTTCCTGATTTGTAAGACCAACTAGGACCTGAATAAGCCACAAGACTCTTAAAACACATGTCCTACACCCCAGATGAACCCGAATTTCCAAAAGAACAGCCATAAAAAGGTTTCTGCTTTGTCTAGATCAAGAATGGCCCTTACAACTAGCTGAAACACCAAAGTTTTATACCATCAGGAACAAGTAATCTCGACTTTTAGTTGCATACAAGAAAATCTTGACTTCTTCAAGATCCATCTTCTTCAAAATCTTTTGTCCATATTTGTATAAATGAGCACACTCTTTGTTTTCGCTTTCTCCTCCTTTCCTCTTTCAACATGTTGTTTCTTTGTTATCACACAGATAATGACCCTAAAAACATTAAAATAGCAAAAAACTATAAAATGATATTTCACATAAATATCATGCATGTTTTTATATATACATACATATATATATATGTATGTTTATGTATATATATATATAATATAATATATATACATTTTTATTTATAATTTTATTATACTATTTTATTCCAATTATATTGTAATTTTTTTTAATTTCATTTTATTATTACATATTGAATACATAAAATTTCATATAAAATAAAATTTTAAGAGTTTTTAAAAATTTTGCCTATTTTTTAATTTATTATAAATTTTTCATTATTTTTTCAATTTTTATTAAAAAAGATGCCTCTCATGGCTTGGCTAGCCCGGGCCCGCCAAGCCTCACGACATGGGCCATGCCATGCCTAACCTATAAAGGGCCAGGCCAGCACAGTACGACACACCAAGCACAGGCGAGGGCAAAGTCGTGTCATGCTGACCCTACACAACCTGATTTACACCTCTATGCAAGAAATCAACTAGATCACTAATGGATCTTCCTTCTACACCTTGATCCCCCACAAGACTGTACAATAACAAATCAACTACAAAACTAGCTACCCTTTGTACAAATTCAAATTCAATTGACCCAAAAAGGTTCATGTCAATGAAAATCACCAAATATGTTTGGTGTAGCCATTGGTTTCCTGTTTCTCGAAAATAGAATCATGTTCGATAGCAACCAATTTCTTGGAATCAATTCTCTAGATGACTAAAGCTACATTGTCATCAAATAGATATAAAAAAGGAGATAAGTTACATGTTCATGTCCAAGGGTCCCTTTGAAGGTTGAGGCCTCTACAACCATGTCCAAGGGGTCCTTTGATGCTTATTATATACATAATGACAATTAGTAATTGTCTCCATACACAACTCAGCACCAACATAGTGGGACCAATGAAAAGCTTTCATCATGTTTTCACATATTCAACGAGCAGGGCTGTGATTTCTTCTACCGGTTTCTAAGGTTGTTGCCCAACCTAAGATTAGGAGTTGAAAAGTTACAAAACTGGGAATTAAAGAAGATAGTAGCTCTCTTATCCAAACTCCAAAGCTGTTGCCCAACCTTAGGTGTGCTAGACAAAATGATTTGGAAGTGGAAAACCGAAACTTCTCTTCTCTACTTTTTCACAGAACAGTTTTAAAGACAAAGGAAAACAATTGAAGCCACACATAGTTACTTATAATGAACACCACTTGAATTCTCTCTCTCTCCAACACCTTAAACACCAAAGATCTACAACAACAAGGTCAAGAAAATTAAGCCCAACATATTTAATACTAGAACCTTTATTGAATCCAAACAACAAATCTTTGCTTATTGGGACGACTTCGATAAGCAAGACATTTTCATGTTTTTCAATTAATATGGAATACAATAATTGGAAGATTTTATAACGGTTCTCTTAAGAATTTAATAGAAAGTTCAATGAGCATATAAAAAACTTAGCTGTTAATACATATCAATAAAAGCATGTCAATTTACATGAAATAAACTTTTTGGATTGGAGTAATGGCCCAACTTACATCAACACAACTTCAATACATATCAATAACATCATTCACAACTAAAACATCTTCAATATATTCAATGAATTCGTATCAGAGCATGAAATAAAGAGATGGGAAAAAAAGAAAGGAACAAACAACTTCTTGAGTCTTGAATGGAGACAATTTGTAGACTTGGTCACAATTATCTTAACCATTATTATTGAATACATTGGAATGGAAAAACCCTAGTAGTTGAAAGCAAGGCAAAGAAACCCAGAAAAGTAGCGAAGAGAGGCCGAGAAAGAAACTGATAAAAGGGAATAAATAAATATCTTACCAGGCAGAGGTGAAGAGAAACTCCCAAGCAGAGAACCAAAATGTGCAGACCTTCACTCGAACAAGTGAGTAAGAACTAGAAGACGCAGAGAGACGTAGAGCTTCATTCCAACGAATTGAGAACAATGCAGGGAGACTCAAGTGATTACAGAGGAGAAAAAGATTGGAGACTCAAGAGAAGGAGAGATGCTGGGAGATTTGAGCGATTAGAGAGTAGAGAAGAGATGAATACTCGAGAGAGAGAAGAAAACATTCACAAGAGAGAAGGAGCATACATAGATTTTGTTAAACTTAATAAAGGGGCAATTCTGTCCTAAGAAAAGGATATACGAATTGTATCTCATACGGGTGTTCCCCTTTCGTATACAGCTGCTCTTTTTTTATATTTGTTAAAAAAGGTTGCCTTATTTTAGTTATTATATGAAGTATGTAATTTTAATTGCTATTAAAACTGAAAAGCTACCCTTATCAGCTAGAATTCCAAAAATAAAATGTTGGGATTGTATCTGATTTTTCAACCATTAGATCAGATTGTAATCTAATAGTTGGTGTGGTCCCTCCTTTAGGTTAAGGTGGGTTTTACATCTAAAGGGTTTCTTTTATATGTAGGGTTTAGAAGTTTGGCTTTTTTCTTGTTGGAGAAGAAAAAAATAGCGGTTGGAGAGGTGCTCTTGATGTAAGAGTAGATTCTTTTTTCTTCTAGTGTTGCTATTGAATTCTCTTGGTTGCTATTTCATTCAAATGCTTTGTGGTTTTATCAAGTGGGTGAGCCCAACAATAAATTCTATTCCATCATACCTCAAATTTGTTGGTTAGGATTCACTTGAGGCTTTATGCTCAACAAGTAAGTAGAGTATGGGAACAATGTGAACTAGGCCATGGTCCATTTAGCAATCCACAAAGTCTCCTGTATGTATTAAAAGTTCTAAAAGAACTAGCATTATGCAAGATTTCATTCTTGAACTTTAGTACTTGATTACGTAGGCGTCTCCTGTATGATGGCCTAAATTAGCTGTCAATGTCCCTAGGGGCTGTTCACCTGAAAAGACAGAAAAAGAAATGGTCTGAGATACCAAATATAAATAGCAGGAGATTAGCAAGAGAATTTGGAATGTATTTTGGATGCATTCTAGAGTCATGGTAGAAAGAGGTTACATTTTGGTATGAAAGGAAGATTTCTATACCTAATATTAGAAGGGATATGAATTTAGAAATCCTGCTGGTTTGGTGCCCCGGATGAATTAATGGTTTTTAACAAGATTATCCTTGCAGATGTGATTAAAAACTACTCGTATAGTGTTATGTGTTCCAGCAGGTTCAGGTGGGCTATCCTTCCATGGTGCACATTATCTATAGTTAACGTGATTTGAATTCTTTAACCCTTCTTGGCTTTGAAAGTTCAGTATTAAGTGAAAACATCC